AAAAACATAAGCACAGAATGTGCAAAATACCACTAGTGCTTTCTGAAAATCAGTAAACACCTTGCCTAGCAGATCCCAAATAAACTCTGACAGAATAAGTTGGCTTAATACTACTGAATTTTTTAGAGAAGACCCAGAATGCCTACCTATGGGTTGTCTCATATGATTGAATTGAACCAAGTTATTGAATGGTTATAAGATGTCATGGGGCTTAGTTCTTTACAACCACAAAGAACGTATGAGTACACTGTAATCACATTACATTTTTAAGCATTTCACTTTTTATTCTGAGCTTCTCACACACAGTATCAATCTGTCCTGCCAAGACTTCTGCTACAACCCCCATCTCTCACCAACACTTCTCCCTCAGTTTACGCAGGCAAAACTGGGAAAGGATGAACTATGATTTGCTCATAGAGTTCACTCCTTTTGTAGCATGAGGCAAAGGCTCTGTATTAAAAAGGCACAATTAAAGACTTTAAGAAGGTTCAGACATTCCTATACTTATGCCCAAATACCCTGTTCCTACGAGGAACTAAAATTTGGGGATATGCCAGAAATATGGGTTGACAAACCCAGTTTTACACAATAGGTATAATCCTGAAATTCTGTGTGCACTCCCCATTTTGTTAAACAGATCACTTACAGAATTAAGTGTTTCAATTTTACATGCTTCTTTTTCCTTTGCTAGAGTCCTAAAATATGTCCTGATTTTATTTCCTTCTGTGGCTTGATTATGTTTTTCTATGTCGCTTTGAATATAACCAGTGTACACATAGGAATGTTTAGTCTTATTAGCTAAATATGACACAGTAGACAGTGTTAGGGTCAGTGTGTTTGACTGAGAACACCCAGCTCTTTTCATTGAGTTTACTTAGTAATTGATTAGCCTGCCATCACTTGATGGTCCAGAGTTATCTCTTTATTATGAACACTTCTTTTCAAAATGTTGACCAATTCTCTAAACGTTAAAAAATTATCACCTCTAAAAATCAGTGCTTTGGCATTTTTTGGTGTTGCTGGTTCATATCTTTATGGTACTCATTGTGTTTATCTTCTCCCTAGAGCACCCTGACTTATTGCATCACTAGTATATGTTTTGATGGTTTGCCAAGCATTTCCGTTTCCATTTCAAGTGCAGTAGAGTTGAAATTTTTTATCAGCATAGTGCGCTTAAATCAGGACACCTCTTTAGTCATTCGGTTAGTCTGGAATCCAGTAGACATCTTAATATCAAAAGTGCACTCTAACAAATTCTCTTTCGACCTTCACACCCAGCCCAAGTGTGAACCCTTTTGTTAATTCTCCTCCTGCTCCTCTGAGAAGCCATGCTTCTCTCACTTGTCAGCACCGCCATTATGGAACTCATCCTAATCCGTTGAACTGTGTTTAGGAGTATAAGTATTGGTTTTTCCAAACAACTTAAGGGCTCAGGGAGCAGAGAAGCATCTATTATGTGTCAATTACTATAAAATATAGATATACTTGCTCTTTTATTATTACCAATGAGGAGATTGAGAGTGAAATTTCCAGTTAGTAGATGAATGAATCAGGATGTGTAGCAGGTCTGCCATTGTTTTATTGCTGCTCTGCAGCTCATAGAAACTTGGTGAAGTGTAAGGGTGGAGAGCTAATCAGAGTTTACCAGAGGCAAAATCTTATACAGCTACTGTTCCCAAATAACTGCTCTTTTTTTTTTCTCACTCACAACTTCATCTTTCAGGACAGATTTTCTTATAAACATAACTTTCCTCATCTTCTTAGTCATTTCTTCAGCCATTCTTTCATTTAATACATATTCATGAGGCAACTAGGTATTGGGCCTTGTTTTACTTACATTATATAAAACAGACAAAAATCCTGACCTTATGGAGCTTATATTTCCACCAAGGAGACAGACTATAAAGTAATACACTTTATATAAATATATGTCTTACTTAATAGGTTCCAAGGTAATAAATGCTAAGGGAAAATAAGTAAAACAGGCCAAGACAAAGATGTGAGGTATGTTTGGTCAGGGGACAGTATTAAGTTAGGAAAGTCAGTTCTGGATCCTGGAGAAGTGGAGATTTAAGCAAAGCCCTGAAGGAAGAACTGTCAGCTGAAACGGAGCAAAGTCCTTAAAGTGGAAGCATCCCAGAGTTTTCCGGAAGTATCAAGGCTGCAAGAGCTGTCTAGAGTTGAATGAAGAGGAGAGATTAGCTAGTGAGGAGAGTGAACTGGGGAGTAGTAACAGATATAGGTGGGGAAGTGTTAGTTATGGAGGACCTTAGCTAGTCTGGGTTCTGTAGTGTACACAGCTTGCCCTTGTGTTAACAGTGTATGCACTAAGTACCTCCAGACTAGTAACCTGGGTTTGGTTTTACTGCTAACATTTGTCTGCATAAAATAGTCCTCCAAAAATAACTAGCAATGTCTGGATTTAGAATATTGCTTCGGCCAGGTTCAATCATATCCATATGAATCATTATTTCAGTAGTTTCTATTCAACACCATAGAAAACCATTCCTTTACACTGACATTGGCCACAATTGATGGGATCAGGCTATAATGCATAGAATGTACTTGGGAAATGCTAGTTGAATGAGTGGATGTGTGAATAGATGGATGAAGACAAATTCAGTCTTATAACATAGGTGGATACTTCTACCTGTAAATAAACTTGTATTTTAGATGTAGAAGTAAGTTATACATTTACTTACCAACTAAATTGACTATCTGGCATATGGTTTGGTATTGATTAAATGTGAGTTGTTTTAAAATTTATATTCTATCTAAGCAAGAGAAATTTTAAGCTCTGTTTCTTCAAAGACATTCTGTGGCTCTAGAGGGATATGTGCTAAAAACACCTTGCTTCTCCTTGAAAAGAATCACTAGTTAAAAAGAAATATATAAACCTAATCTCAAAATAAAAAGTCTTATTTACTTGTTAGCTGATATATTTATGTCCACAATATCTATAGTGACGTCATTGTCTTGATACTATCTTCAACTTCAAATGTCAGCTACATAATTATTGTCTTTGTTGGACTTGATCTTCTTTGTGGTGGTAATTTGCTTCCATAGCGCTATTGTAACTAAGATTGCCTGTGGCAGTTATTGTTAGACTAGTGGATGTAAATCAGAGTTCCTGGATTTGTGCTTGCCCTTTTCTTTGCAGAGTTTGGAACGACCTCTGTACATTTGGGTTTCATTTTATAAATGCAATAGACAATTCCAGTAGATTGATCCTAGCATGTGACTATGAAACTTTTGTAAATATATTTTTCAAATATCCTTATATCCATTTATCCAACAAAGTAATAGTTTTGGAAAACATGAGTTGATATATATATATATTTTTAAGTTTATAAGAAAATTCAATTTGGGAATATTTTGTTTATTCTCTGATCATCTTTTACTTAATAGATAAATCCTTTAAATGCCAGGCAAATGAATATATTCATGGTCCTAAGGGTGGCAAGGCATTAGCAACAAAGGACTACCTACTTCAGTAGGAAATTAGATAGCACTTATTTTAATTGCCCTATCAATTTAAATCCATTTTCCATTTATTTTTAACAATTATCATAGTTAATTTAACAAAATCATTATATTTCTAATTTAATTCCAGAGGTGTTACTTCACACTTTACTATGCATCGTTTTCCATTAATCATTTGTGTACCTTAAGAGCACATATCTCTATTCAATATTTATTCAATAAAAGCCTTGTAAATGGAGTATTTGCTAATGTCTTTTTTATTATTGTTGTAGAAAGTATCAAAAGTATGATAGCTTCATCAGTGGACTAGATGTATGATTTTTAAAGAATTTAAGTCAAGAAAATTATGGGAATTCTCTGTAACATCAAAGGCTTTTGGTTAATATTTCTATTTTTTAATAATCTTCACATTAATCATCATGATTTTAAATTCAATGAAAGCATATGCTGTAGTATTGCAGACTCTGTATTCAATCATATTCTGGAAGAAATTTTTTAATCCTTGTACATTTACAGATTCTGTCAGTCATTTCATTTTTTTTTTTTTTTTTTTTTTTTGGTACTAGAGCTTGAAATCAGGACCTTGTGCTTGTGAGACAGGTGGCAGAACCACTGAGCTAAATCCCTGGCAGTCAGTCATTGCTTTAAAATGACCTTATCGTTATTTCATTAAATAATTCCATTCTTATTTAATGTTTTAATAAAAAATTATAAGCCACAGTTTGGTAAAATTCATCTTTCAAAATAGAAAAATGTCATTTTAAAAATAATTTGATATTCTGCCATTTGTTAAAATGATAAATTATATTATCTATTTATTTTTTACCATGCATATAGGAATGATTTGCTTTTTATGTCATTAGCCTCACTTCAGTTAAAAACATTAAATTACCGGAAGTATGAAAATATGAGTGTCCAGAAAAGAAAACATGCAAGTAAGCATTTAGCTTCTTTTTCATATCTTTGCTCTGAAATTATGACATAATATTCAATGTATGTCTCTTCCTTGTGGCTCTATTCCCATAATTTGTGTGATTTTCTAATAGCTCTATTTTTTCATTCTGTAATGTCAATAGTTTTCAGGTTGTTGCCCAAATGATTGTGGTACTTCTGTACTCTGCTAAAATATCGGTAACAATAAAGATGAGGCTATAGTCTGAACATGAGCAGGACTGTACCTGAGCTTTCCTGGATCACTTAGGATCCATATGAACTCTTTGCCTGATCCATTATCTGACCAGTCAGCTATTATAAACTAATTAGCTGAAGAACAGCAGCACTTATGTGCACAGTCTTGAAATAGAACAAACTAATGTTTACGTGGAATTAACTAAAAGATCTTTGCCTCCATAGCAAAAATCAATAAACCTTCAAATATTTAAAGGACGAAATCAATTTAAATAGATCCCTATTGTTATTTATTGCTGTTACAATAAATTGAAGATAGATTTGGAAAAACAGCTGTTAAAATGTGATTAATTGTGTTTGTTTTTCTGTTTTCTGTTCCTTTTCTACAGGTCTAGGTTTCAGTATTGCAGGAGGTGTAGGGAACCAACATATTCCTGGAGACAACAGCATTTATGTAACAAAAATTATAGATGGTGGAGCTGCACAAAAAGATGGAAGGTTGCAAGTAGGAGACAGACTACTAATGGTGAGTGTGACTCCAAGCATGACTGTGTGTGAATTTATAAAGCTCTTGTTTCCAAGGGTATGACTTAGTTTTCTCAGGCTTCCATAACACACCATGGACTATGTGGCTGAAACAAGAAAAGTTTCTTTTCTTGCAGTTTTGAAGGCTTGGAGTTTGAAGGCTGCAACAGATTAGGTTTCTATTGAGGGATATCTTCCTGGCTTGCAGATGGCTACCTTCTGACTTCATCCTCACGTGGCTTTTCCTAAAAGCTCAGGCTGACAGAAAGAGCTCCCTTTTCCTGTTATTGGGCCACCAGTATCATCAAATGAGACCCCCCACCTTTAATTCATTTTATCTTTATTACCTCCTAAAGACCCCCATCTCCAAGTACAATCACATTTGGAACTTCAGCATGTGATGTTGGTGTCAGGGCACAATTTAGTGCATAGCACTGGCCATGTACAAAAATAAAAAGGGAGTCCAGATTGCAGCAGAAGATAGCTCAAACGTGCACATACAGTTGTGTCTGATTTGTTGATGTTTTTAAAACAAAAATTGAAATTTTCACCAATTTTTTCATACACACATGGCACCAAGATTAGATGTTGTTCTCCAATAGGAGATGTTGTCATCTCCTATTAATGATAGCAACTGCTATTTCCAGAATTTCTAGAGAAGGCAATTTACATAACAAGAGGTACTGCATTATCTGGTTTACTAATATGAATGTGTCCATGGTTATTTTTTCAACTAGGGGCACACCTCCAGTAGTCACAGCCCCTAGCTTTGTGGCTTCTGCCACATGTTTAAATGGGTTTCTTTCCCTCAGACTGGATAACAGCTATAGTATTGTGTTTGCCAGCTGCCTACAAGTTTCAGGAGTCCTGGCTAATGACTGATACTAACTCATTCTGAGCTATGGATTGTATAAAAAAAAAAAAAAAAAGCAAAATTAAATAATTATAAATAGGAAAGCATTTGACACCACACTCATATAACTGTTTCAAAACTCCATTGACTATTATACACTGAATCTACTGAATAATAATCAAATATTAAAAATTCACAGTAGAAGACCTCAAGTCAGATGAGTATATCTAGTAACATATCTGCCCTTGTAAAACAGGGCCTTTTCATTTATATCTATACAGAACCACTATCTCCAATACCTTCATGAGAAGTGTTTGAGGAGGACTGATCTATACCATCTCAGCAGGAAAGTAATTTCCATGATGTGTACAAATTTTGAAGGTTAAATCCAAAAGTTTATATTCATGATGCCCTTTTCTCTGGGCTCTAGAGAGCTTGTCTTTAATCCCAATAGCCTTATTTTGTAGTTATCAATAAACTTCATATTGAATTATCTGCATAAGACTTTTATACTAAACTTGGTAGTTAACATTTATTTAGTATTTGCTATGTACTGTATACTATTTAAAGTACTTTTTGTAATGTAACATATATTTCTAACAACTGGACGTTTTATATAAGCAAAAGGCAACAGAGGCATAGAGAAGTTTATTAATGTGTCCATGGTCTCATAATTAATAATGGAAAGAACTGGATTTCCAACTCAGGAAACCTTGTTTGCATCCATGCTCAACACTACTGTACAGTACTACTTCCTGTGCTTAGTATTTGTATGCATTTCTTTGAATTTTTTCATTCAATTCTTTCCTTCTTTCCTTTGTTCATTATTCAGTTATTCATTAACTCCTTTTACAAGTATATATATATATATATATATATAATCTATCTACCATATCCTAAGAAATAGCCACTATACAGGAAGGAATTCTGGAGGAGCAAAAAATGCTGTAAAAATTGACTTCATTCTGAGTTTCAACTCAAGAATTTTGAGCTTCTTTACAACCTGGAGTCACTACCATTTTCATTCTCATGAGATTCTGCAACGTATTTTTTCTGCCTCTTTGCTTTTGATGTAAGAGTTAGTTCTTTTGATGTTATACCTTCTATGTAGAAAAATTGTTGGGGTATATTATCTAGAATATAAACTTCATTACTTGAAATGTGTATTTGGAAGTAAAATAAATCAAGATAACCATCTATGTAGTGCTAAACTGACAAATGTAGAGGATACTTTCAAGTAATGACAGATAGCTACTGGGTTCACCTTTAGTTTTGTCAGAGGTTGGTTGTAGACAAGTCTGGTGGTGTTTCAACTGCTGACATTGTACATTTGTGCTAGATATTATGTGTGGATTTCTTGAAGTTGTGTTTAAATTTCTAGCTTTATTTTCAAATTCTTAAGAAAAAACTAAACTTTATCCAAATAACTCTGTCAAAGGATTTTCCAGGCACCGTGCTATTTTTCCATTACAATGTGCTTGAAACTCATTGAAGATATAATGATTTCAAAAATAGCTGTGACATAATTCTTAAGTGTTTTGAGTTTTAAGCCATTTTTTTTAAATGAACCTTCAACAATAATAGTTCTCTCCTTGCTTATGTAAGGAAAACATAATTAGTACTTCCAAGGCAACTGGCAAGCTGAATCTGGAAATAAAAGAAAATGGCTTGCTTTAAAATATTCTGAAAGAAAAATAACCCTTAGTGAAAAAGAATAAAGAAAAAATCAGTAGAGCTACCCTAAAAGACCAATTATTTTGCTTCAGCCCCAAAATATTTATTAATACTCTTTTGTTTTTCTTTTCCACCTCCTCTTTCCTTTACCCTACATTTATAACTCTTTTTCTTCCTCCTCCTCTACTCTCCTCCCCCAAAGGAAGTACAAATGATTTAGATCCTATGATTTACCAGCTGTACCACACTCTGAGTATTTTTCTCTAAATATGCTATTCTTTCTAAAGCAATTTGCACAACTTCCTTCTCTCACTTCTTAGGAAAAATTCCCCCATATATTATTCAGTCAGAGTTCCATAAATACACTGTTTAAAATGAAACTTTGTTAGTGTTCTTAGACTTTTGTGGCTGAATACCTATAATTCAGAAAATCTCTCAGAATCTCCCCTGCAGTGAGAACACACATTTTTTCCTTTTGGAATCTTAGTAATAACCTTTTCATTTTCTCAAATAAAATTCCTATCATTTGGGTACCACCTGACTCATACTCTTTTTCTCTAATACCTTCTTATGTCTCAGAATTGAAATGTATCTCATTTTTTTTTCTCTTTGGTAGTTCTGGGCATGGACTCTTGGGCCTTATCAATGCTAGATGAGGTGTCTATCTTAAATGTCATCTGATTCAAACTGTCACCTGGAACATCAGAATCCTGTAGAAAAGCAAACACGTGAAATAGTCCTTCACTTCTAATACAGCCCTTCTAAAAGTGGAGAACTTAATTCTTCTCCAAAGGTGTCCATTAGGTACCAACCATCCGTAAAATCATGTTGAAATATATTTCCCTAAAATTTTCTCCCTTATTCATAGCTTTGTTCCTTGAAACCAAAAGGCAGGAACTAATTCCTCTTACACACAGGTTTGAGTTTTATGTTGCCACTTCTCAGTCTTTTTAAATGATTTACATATCTTCTCACACTTTTATAGTGAATTTTATCACACATTCATTTTTCTTCTGTACATGGATTACACATAAAATTCCTTTAGATTCCTTATAATTTTATTTCCCACTTTTAAAAACCCAGGCAATTTTATAACAGCCCCCATTGAGTTTATTCCACTATAAGGAAAAATTATCCTGTTACCTTTGCAGTAAGCCTCTTTGTGTTTCAAATGAAATTCCTGTAATATTGGATCATGCCTACATTTCATGGGTTACCCAAATACAGGGTTTGTATTCTCTTTTGCAAAATATTTTTTAAAATTTTTCTTGCTACTTGGCACTAAAATTTTGTTTTGTTTTGTGAAGTAACAGTGACTTCTGATCCTTGTGGATTATAATACCAATACCTTAGTGTTATAATCCTGGACCAAATAGATTATCTCTTGGCCTTCAATTTCATAGAATAAATGGTCAAGAGTTAATGGCATGGAACATTTTCAAATTCTTTCATATATTTTCACACATTACTTTTTATTAACGTCTTCCAAAGTGATACATAGAGCCAAATATATTATAGAAATATGATCTTCTTCACCTTTTTCTACATAATTCCAGAAACTGCATCCAGGATCATTTGTCTTTTCTGCAGGGATAGAAATAGTTGTCAAGCACCTTGTCACATTATAATTTAAGGGTTAAAATCTTACACTTTTTTTCTGTAACCTCTGTTTGACATTTGAAGAAAAAATTGTCAGTGGGAGAACTTTACACCTTTTACAGAAAATGAGCCCTGGCTTTTGTTCTTTAAAGGAAAGTAGTAGACGAGGGAAAAGCTAACAAAGGTATGAAGTCAAATGGAAAGACCATGGACTTAAACATGGGAGAGCTACTTTACTCACAGGCAGCTACACTGACTCCACCAAAATGCCTTAGGCAAATTGTGTGCAGCTTTGGTCCTCTTTTTTACCTCTGTACCATAGTAGCACTGCCTTAGACCAGTATTTCTTAAAGCATATTATGAAACATTAGTCACATTCCTGTGTTACATTAAAGGCTTTGTAGCCAAACAAGTTTGAGAAATTCTGCGCTTGCATCTCACCCCCTTGTTTATTTTCAGTGAACTCCAGCATATTAGATTCCTGTGATTCCTGCAGTCAACAAACTTTTAAATTAGTGCTAAAATTTTCAACCTTACTCATGAAATTCTTTTCATAAAGTATCACTGTAGTTATAAAACACCCGCAACTAGTGTTCAGTGGAGCATACTCTAGGATGTGCTGTGTAGAACATCTCTTATTTTTATTCCAAAATTAATATCTTCTGGTAAGGTCGTGAAATGGATTTAGGTAATATGAGTAGACCACTATACAATATTTTGAATAAGCATTAGTTGTAATGTCTCAAATTAATATTATTTTTGGTAGTTTATGAAATTGCTTGGTTTTATTCAAACATCAGTAATAAAATCATATTGAAGATAGTATAAATGTATAGAAATTATCTGAATGAGAAACAGGACTTTAAAGGATGTTC